TCTCAACACCAGATCGACGAGCTAGCTTTGGGTTTGGAATTGAGTGGTCAAAGGTTCTTATGGGTTTTGAGAGCACCAAGTAATTTACCTAATGCGGCTTACCTTGAGGCTGCAGAGGAGGACCCTTTGCAATTCTTACCAAAAGGGTTTTTGGAAAGGACAAAGGAAAATGGTTTGGTTGTGGCTTCATGGGCACCTCAGGTTCAGATCCTTGGTCACTGTTCAGTTGGTGGGTTCCTGAGCCACTGTGGTTGGAACTCGACTTTGGAGAGTGTGCAAGAGGGAGTGCCTCTGATAACATGGCCACTCTTTGCAGAGCAGAGGATGAATGCAGTGATGTTAGCGGAAGGATTGAAAGTGGCATTGAAGCCAAGATTTAACGAGGATGGCATAGTGGAAAAGGAGGAAATTACAAAGGTGATAAAGTGTTTGATGAAAGGAGAAATAGGCAAAGGAATGCGTGAAAAAATGAGGACTTTGAAAGATTTTGCTGCTCATGCACTCAAAGATGGTTCTTCAAAACAAACCTTGTTACAGTTGGCCAGTGAATGGGAAAATTTGAGTGGTAATTAGGAAACTCTAGTTCTTTTTTTTCTTCTTAAATTGTTCTCTAAATGTATGGTCTTCATAATTTGTTTCATTTCTGCATTAAGTGATTGAGTGGTTATTGGTGGTTGAGTTGTTTAGAAGATGAAAAGTTGAATTTCGAGTTTGATCATAGAAAAGTAGACGTTATTTTTAAGTCATTTCTTGCAAGCAAAAGTCACTCAATGTCAAAAGTTGTGTAAACTCTCAAGGACATAAACCACGAACTCAAGCCATTTAATGCATAAGACACTTGTATATCCTCGTAACAGAGTAATGAAATAGAACAATAGTATTCCATATTTGATTAGCTTTGAACATATAGACAATCTTATTAATAGGGATGAATAAAATTAATTGAATTGAACTAAATTGTTAAAAAATATAATGAGCTAAAAAATAGTTAGTTTGAATTAAATTGAAAATTAGTTCGATTTAGTTTTGATAAAAAAATAACCTGAGTTTGGTCGAATTGGTCTCGATTGAATTTGGTTGAGATGATCACGATCGAAACTTAATTGGATTGGTTTCGATCGAAATTGGTCAAATTCGACTAATTCAAGCCTGATTGAAAATTAACAAAATTTGGTCAGGACAACCACGAATGGTTGAGAAAATCCCAATCAAAAATCAATCTAATTTGACTAAATTTAATTCTGAACGAAAATGGGGTATGCACTACTTTTATCCTCTCTATGTATTTATTAAAGATATGAAAAATAAAAAAAAAATAATCTAAATTATCATTCTTAAAGATATAATAGTCTTATCTTTTCCAATAATATCTTTGAGATGATGGTAAATATGTTTTAATTTATCTATAATGATAAACTTGAAATCGAGTTTAAAAGGCTTTATGTTATGACAATATAGATAACCCTCCAACCTTAATTCCATATATCTTCTTCCAAAATAAATGGTTCAATAGTTTTTTATCCATGAAACTTTAGATGATATAATTTTATTATTTACATTTGGTTGGAAAAGAATTGGGGTTAACATAGTTTTTAAATGTGGTTAACTATATTGAAAATTTGGTTAAATGAAAACTTTTAGTTTAAAAAGTGACTCAAGGTAAAAAACATTTATTATAGCAACTTTTCATAAGGGTTATAATTCATTAGGTATAAAAAGTGATATAATGACATAACTATAATATTTTAAGACTTTTTATATAGGTTGGGGCTCTAACTAATATAAAAAGTTTTGATGGTGACAATAACACTTTTTATACCGGTTTGACCAAGAACTAGTATAAAATGTGATGTAGTTGCATTTTTGTATTATTGAATAAGTTTTTCTATTCGGATTAGTCACTTTAATCAATATAGAATGTTTAATGTTCTCAACCTTTTTTGCTCCTCAATTTCATTTCTTCCCAACTCTTCTCTACACTACACTTAGCTCCCCGCTACACTACAATTCACATCGTTGACCTTTCAAACTTGACGATTTTGTTTGTCATTGATCATGCTCTTGTCATTAATGCTCACATTCATTGAGGGTTCTGTCGCGGCTTACAATCGTCATTAACCCGCTCTCATAGTTGGTGACTCATTATTGGTGGCTCTTGCTCTTTGGCGTCATTGATCATGATTTGGTCATCGTTAGTGACACATTTCCTTCTTCTCGCTGTTATCGCTACGTAGTGTTTTGTTATATTTTTTAGGTAAGCTTTATTCTAGATATGCTTCATTTTTTTTTATTTCATTGCTTGTGCTTTTTTTGAATTTTTAATGGTTGTGTAATATTAGTGACTGTGTAATATTTGGTTAATGTTAATTATTCTTAAAATATATGTTGGTTAACAGTTAGCTAAATTATTAGCGTTCAGTCTTGTAGGATAATTTGTCCATAAGCCATTGTATCGCAGCAACTAGTCCTATTCTCTTATAAAAGATGATGCTTAAGACGCAAACAAAAAAGAAAAAGTTAAATAGTTGCATGTGACACCACAATGGTAATCATGGTAATAGGTACAATGGCACGTCTAACCAAGAAGGATTACATAACATTTACAAGATCTCTACGCTACAAGAAACGTAGTTCCTCTATATTGAAAAACAAGTACGGTCTTGAACCATCTCTAAACTACAAACATAAAAGGTAAACGTCTAATGTAATCTAAACTAAGTTAAAAATCCGGCTAACTTAGTCTCCCTTAATGGGAGGTTGCAGGCACGCACAAAAGGGTGCTTTCTTCTTCTTTTTCTGATAGTTTCTTCTCGTCCCATGATATAGATAGTCTCGCAAAAGGACTTTTGAATTTCGTTCATTTATCACCGGTTAGTGTTCCAATGAGTATGGAATGAGAAACTTTTTACAATCATTGATTCTTAAACTGGTATAAAAAACATAGATGATATATAAAACATTTTTCCCTAATAATTTTTTATATTTCTAAAATTGATATAAAAGATGGATTTTTTTATATTTATATGATAAATGGTATAAAAAGTGTTTTTTTAACTGGTGTTAAAAAGTTTTTCTACATTAATAAAGAATAACAATAACCATCAGGTGAATTCCTTTTTAAGTAAATGATCTGATTATTATTATTCATTGTAGCTTCAGATGAGACAATATTATTGATTACTTTGTTACACTTATTCGGAAAAAAATTAATATAATTATTAAATGTAGTAAACAATACAATTAGATATACAATCAATTAAGTTTTCCAATAAATTTATATAATAAATATTTTATTATAATGTTTTATTCATATATACAAACATTAAAAGCCAAAAAGTATATACATTTAAAAATGTTTAAAGAAATATATTTTATTTTTATTTAAATATTATAAACTAAAATATAAAATTTATTTATTTATCTGTTTTAATTATTATTTGGATAAATATTTACAAGTATTATATTACAATTAATCAACAATGAATAGGAAATCTTAAATATTTTAAAACGATTAGATAAACTAATATATATATATAT